AGTCAGTGATAATATCTTAACCCTAAAAATGACCGAAGTGATTACAATAATTGGTTCCAGAATTTTTGTTCATCGTTTATTATTAATTTCATTGAATTACGAATTTTAATTGATAATTTCGATGTTAATGGACCTTCATCGAGATGGTTGAATGAATTCCTTAAAATTCCAAGGGGTTATCGATTTTTATGGTTGAATTCGCAACTTGACTGTTTGATTCGTCCAATTATTATTTTTATTGGTACCGAGGACAACGCTTAATTATATAAATTGGAGAAAAGGAGTAAAGATGGGCGTACACTCGTTTGGATAGTCAGTGATAATATCTTAACCCTAAAAATGACCGAAGTAATTACAATGATTGGTTCCAGAATTTTTGTTCATCGTTTATTATTAATTTCATTGAATTACGAATTTTAATTGATAATTTCGATGTTAATGGACCTTCATCGAGATGGTTGAATGAATTCCTTAAAATTCCAAGGGGTTATCGATTTTTATGGTTGAATTCGTAACTTGACTGTTTGATTCGTCCAATTATTATTTTTATTGGTACCGAGGACAACGCTTAATTATATAAATTGGAGAAAAGGAGTAAAGATGGGCGTACACTCGTTTGGATAGTCAGTGATAATATCTTAACCCTAAAAATGACCAAAGTGATTACAATGATTGGTTCCAGAATTTTTGTTCATCGTTTATTAATAATTTCATTGAATTACGAAGTTTAATTGATAATTTCGACGTTAATAGACCATCATCGAGATGGTTGAATGAATTCCTTCAAATTTCAGGAGGTTGTTGATTGTTGTTGTTGAATTCGCAACTTGACTGTTTGATTCGTCCAATTATTATTTTTATTGGTACCGAGGACAACGCGTAATTATATAAATTGGAGAGGAGGGGTGAAGATGGGGTGACACTTTGAAGCTATATAGATTAAAAAAAAATTATTGGTTCGAGGTTTCTGCGATGATGGATTATTGACGTGGCGGTGGTTTTATGGCTGTGACCCAGGAGGTCGTGGACGAAGGGTGAGCGATCCTTTCACCATGGTGGCAGAGGAAGGGAAGGAAAGAAAAATTGGAAAAGAAGTTCTAGTAATATCTACAATAGTAAGATCTTCGAAACCTATTAACTTCTGTCTCAGTCCAAATATTTATTTTAATATATTTAAATATTTCTTCTAGCAAATGTCGCAAGATGTCTTCCGCAAGAAAATACGGTTTTGCGGTGTTTAGAAGAAAAGCAACGTCGGCGTCGAAATGAGAAAATTCTTCCTCGACTACCTCTTGCCTGCTGACGTCCGATGTATGTCCTTTGGTATTCATCGTACTTGGAATTCATCGCAACCACGGTTGCACGGAAGACAGGCTAGATTTGTTTCGATATTGCCTCGGGTGACTCGTATAAATTTTCGTTCCGCAATTTACCATTTATCTTCTGAGGAATTCGACGACGTGACATCGAGTATCGATCGTCTTTGGTCTCCTCGTTACCCTTTGACGTTGCAAATAACTTCGTGACGAGTTGTCCATCGGAAAGTTAGCACGGGTTAATCAATCTTGCTTGCTTCCATCACCCTTGTCGATACTCGAGGAAATTTTCGTCCTATGAATGTATAATAGCTGTTCAAGGTTTTCGTAGACTTCGTAATTATCGAGGGTGCTGGCTTTATCGATACCGTGGTTCTGTTCTTACTTTGGAGCAAGGTTTCTCAAGCTAATGGCCAAAGTCCTTCGAAGGTTTCAATTTATCAAAAAATATTAGTATCGCGCTCTCGTGTTCAGTTCATGCTGGTTCAATTCTTCGAGGATTATAGGGTCTTCCGGTGGATCGTGTGAGAAATTGAGAAATCCTGTTTTAAAGAGTTTCCAACGAGTGCGGGATAACCACGATGTTAAATAAACGCAGAAAGCCGATATCGAGGAAGTAAAACTGGTTGCTGATAGTCCAGTGTTGACCTCTAGTCTATTTGGATTTGGAATTCCAGATATCTTCTCCCTCGTTAATCTTGTTTCAATTCGCCGAAGGATAGATAAGAAAATATTTCCGCGAAGGTTAATAAAGAATTCTCCGCGACAGAGTAATAAATTGACAGCGAATGGATCTCTAAAGCTTCTAAAGCTGGCAGAAATGAATATCGCAGGATTGCAAGATATTTATGGTCGTTTGGTAGAAAAAAGGAGCTAGTTTCATTAACATTGGCGCAAGAGAAAGTCAATCGAGGAGAGAGCATCGATATCCCGACCTGTGCTGGTCGTTTTGTAGAAAATTGCATCAGTCCTCGAGTTACATCCGAGTCTGCAGATAGATAAATAGCAATGGATGATGTCTGTGTGCGTGTATCGGCAATAGCATGTGGAACGAAGAAAGATCGCGGACTTATGGTACACGGGGATTCCAATATCATCGATAAGGAAATTTCTTGTGACGTGGTCACACGCAGGTCATCATTGACAGGTCGCAATTCATTTTCCCTTCGCTCAATTTCCAAATTTCGAATCGACGAGAAAGCGTCGAATTTTATGAATACACTGGCGAAGATAATTTTTAATCATTTTTAGAACGATCCTTGATTTATGGTATACTTGGGTTCCAATATCATCGATAAGGAAATTTCTTGTGACGTGGTCACACGCAGGTCATCATTGACAGGTCGCAATTCATTTTCCCCTCGCTCAATTTCCAAATTTCGAATCGACGAGAAAGCGTCGAATTTTAAGAATACACTGGCGAAGATAATTTTTAATCATTTTTAGAACGATCCTTGATTTATGGTATACTTGGGTTCCAATATCATCGATAAGGAAATTTCTTGTGACGTGGTCACACGCAGGTCATCATTGACAGGTCGCAATTCATTTTCCCCTCGCTCAATTTCCAAATTTCGAATCGACGAGAAAGCGTCGAATTTTAAGAATACACTGGCGAAGATAATTTTTAATCATTTTTAGAACGATCCTTGATTTATGGTACACTAGGGTTCCAATATTATCGATAAGGAAATTTCTTGTGACGTGGTCACACGCAGGCCATCCTTGACACGTCGCAATTTATTTTCCCTCTCGGTTAAACTTCCAAATTTCTAAAATTCGTCTTTCGAATTAACCAAGAAAAAAAAACATTCCATAATTTTTAATAATTTTCACAGTAGTCGAACCGAGGATAAAAATCCCATACTATTCTTTATTTCCCCCGACAAACTTTTTGACGTGGGTGTTCTAAACTCTAGTTACCAATAATGTTACTAGACTAGAGGGAAAAATTCACATTAAAAATTCACCAACGAGGTATAGCTGAATTTCAGGAATAACTTTTAACGCGTGCGAGAATAATTTTTAATAATATTCACGGTAGTCAGAACGAGAAGAGAAACCATGCTACTGCATATTTATTGCTCTCGAGGAAGTTTTTGGCGAGGATGGATAAGAATGTAGGAAACGTGTGTCGCGTCGCGATTTCCGAGAATGGAATGCTCGTCGTAATCGTTGGAAAAGCTCGCGGCAGGAATTTCTTCCATTATAAGAACCCTCGTTCTTCTCTTGCTGCTTTCGGAAAATCGCGAAAGCTGCACGAATCGCGTGACCTATTCCTCTCAGTTCATCCGGAAGATCGATCGGTCCGATGGTTCAAAGCACGTGCCATTTATGAGAGGCGATTATTTCCTCTTTCCAATCGGCTCTCGCACACGAATCGATGGTTGACAGGGGTAAATAACTTATTACTACGATAGCAGACTATCGTAATCGAGAGGTAACTTTATCTGTCTGTAATTGGCTCGATTGGATCGACGAAATGGCAGCTCGCTGATCGTTAACTCGTTTCCTAATAATTCGGTGAAACCGTGTTATTTACCTACGTGTTCCAATATCCTAGGCGAATGCTAGCCTCGAAAGGATTCTCCTGTTCGTCACCATACACGTCCGGTTTTGGGTTGAGACATTTCGAGCTACTACTGCGAAGCAGCGGGGGAAAAATCGAGTTCCCCTGAGCACTTGAATTCCTTTTCTCCTAAGGTAATCGAAGGAAAGTGACGAGCTTGCTGGCTTCTCGCATTTACCAAAGAGAGTATTTTTGATCGACTTTTATCCAAATGGAACGCCAATGATAAACACAGTCGGATTTGTTTGACTGTAAATCATCACCCTTAATCACTATCGACGGTGGTGTCGTGAAGTATCAAAATTTGTCAATAATAATGCAATAATAGCGTAGATAAATGTCTAAAACATTAAAATAAGACTTCCTCAACCCTAAAACTTCAATTACAAAAGGAAAAATTATACTGGTACTTGATCTAAGCTTGCAGACTGCTATTTCTGAACTATTGAATTCTCTAGAAAAAGATAAGCACAAAGGCAAAAATGAACTGCAGGTTATTTGGAATTCCCTAGAAACTTGATGATCCACTATCTGAATCGATAATTACTCATGACTCAACCCAATGGATACTCTTGTCTACCTCTTTAACTCTAACTTAGAATAGCTAGGTCTTTCCAAATGTATAATAAAGAACTTAAATCTTCAGTCTGGATCTGAATGATCCTCACTCATGATCAGTTCACTCAGCACATCATACCTAACTAAAATACCCCCAACTCAAGAGAGGTTAGCTTCCATCCAACATGCCTGATGATCCACTATCTGAACCGACAATTACTCATGACTCAACCCAATTGATGCTGTTTACCTCTCTAACCCTATCTTAGAATAACCAGGTCTCTGCATATAAAATAAAAGATAAGGAACTTAAATCTTCAGTCTGGATCTGGATGATCCCCACAGTGCAGTCTACACATACCTAACTAAAATACCCCCAACTCACGAGAGACTAGCTTCCATCCAACATGCCTAATTCCTCAGCAGGCAACAGTTAGCGAACAGTAAGCTAATAAGAATTCACCCCATCATTTCGCGAAGTGTCATCACCAACTTGACAGACCACGCGGGAGCAAGTGACGTCTATTATAAATCGTCTTTTTCCTTTCTCTGTTTAGATATTGGGCAGCCATACGGAATACCACTTCGTGCACAAAGCCCTGCCCCACGCGCGGAGCAAGAGGTCCGTGCCACATACGAGAAGGCTGAAGGTGGACCCTTTGGTAAGCGATCTCTCGAATTCCACCAGGCTTTCTCGCCGGGCTCTATGTTTTATCAAAGTTCCTCCCGTAACACCGTCGCATTTGTTATCGAAGCGGAGTCGCTCTGAAATTTCACTCCGTATCTTCAAACCGCTCGCTGGAAATTTCATCGACGAGACACGGTTATCACCCAGCGCACAATCGTCACAGGAATCTTTTACAACCATCTTCGCGATTAGATCGAGAGAAACAGCTTCGAGAACGGCGATCGAAGAACGATTCGCTCGTGAGTGGAGCTAGAATCTTCGGCTGCCGATATAAATGTAAATGAACACGCAATTTGCAACGCTACCGTGGGTATAATTGGACCCGGCGACGAATTGATCGTATAAAATTACGAGCCTTTGACGGTGTCGCGTGCGAGGCACGAAATTGTCATCGATCTCTGTCAGCAACGTCCCTCCGTTTTTATGACACCTTCATAAATTTTCATCGCGCTGTCCTTCCCAGTCGACCCTCCTACTCCATCTGGGGACGAACTCTAACCGAGCAGCCATTATTTTTCCACCGTTTGCATCGGATCACACGAAACCCGGGGAGAGACTTGCTTTTCGATGAGTTTTTCTTCGGGATGCTCTGACAGAGATCGAAGATGAGATAGAGAGGGAACGTTTAACCTTTTCGGTACGGGGGAGCTGGCCGCGGTTATACATTCGTGGTACGAGGAAGTTTTCCACAAGAGTGGTAAGCCGTGAAAACGTGTTTTGCGGTATTCATAGAAATCTCGAGCGCGATTGACACTAAATTTTTCATTCGGATCGCGACAGTCATCGGTGACGTTTTGCAGATGCCGTCAATAGGCGATGGTAGAACCCAGAGAACGTTTCATGGCCGCCGCCAATGGGCGCAGTAGTACCGAAAGGATTAACACGTTAAGTGCCACGCCAGTCCCTAGGGACCGATGCAAGACTTTCCGTTTGGGCCCGGCCGGTTCTCAGGGAACTAGGCTAGACTAGGACCAAAAAGTGTTAACTCAGTTAATCAACAGAGCTCGCACGAGCGAAAAGTATTCCGTCCACAGCGATCGTAAGCGCTAAGCACGCACAGAGTCCCTCTGGAGCGCTTCGACAGAGAGTCGTCCGTGCTCTAAGGGTTAAATTCTTCGCCATCTTTGGACCTAACGTTTGGGAATTCCTGTTATAACAATTGGTACAGTATTTCCGAGTTTTATGAACACTTCCCCGCCGCCAGTGGCCCATTTGAGTGCCGAGTCTGGGCCTAAACGGAACAGCAAGCAAAACGAACTGGGCACTTAACGTGTTAACATCTGCATTGGTATCTTGCTTTCTTTTTGCTAGTTTCGCGTTGATTATTATGACTCGTTTGTTAATGTGGTGAGATCGGATTAACCACTTGCGCTGGAAAGACGTGTCACGCACGTCGTAATGCTTTTGTCACAGAATCGCCAACGACGTGGTATACACGTCGTTAGGCAATTGTTACAGAAACACTGGACCGTTCTGGCAAACGCGTCTGTGAATTTCTTGCCACCGCAAGTGGTTAATAAGTGAAAAGGAACTTTTGACTCTGATTATATTTTATATTTCTTAATGGTATAAAATAAATGGAGGCTCGAAGTCTTCTATGATGCGTGATGTAGATATTGGACTGTCAGAAAGTGTGTCCCGTTTGGCAAGATTTTTATAGGCTCTATGACAATCCATTATGTCAAACAACTCAGCTTGGAGAATTGATAAGCTGGATGGTTCCTCGAAGCAAAGATAAATCTCGATGCAGGGTGACGAAACCCAAATAAAGATTCCTCTCGCATTAATCATTCAGCAAAGCCCGTTGAAGAGGGAATTATACAGTGGGTGTTAACGAGTCGGTGCATAAGAGGATCCATTTGAATGTTGCAGGTGCACACAGCGGTGCAGCAGCCTGGATTCAAGAGGGTGAAGAGAGGGTACAAGCCTCTCAGCGTGGATAACCTGGTACGCCTTTACCAGATTAAAAATCCGGCGAGCCCGGGCAACAGAGACCCGTCTGATCCTTATTTCCAGTATCAATGGTACCTGAAAAACACCGGGCAAAATGGCGGCAAGCCGAAGTTGGACTTGAATGTAAAGGCGGCTTGGGCACAGGGTATCACTGGGAAAAATGTAACCACGGCTATAATGGACGATGGTGAGATTGTCTTGGATTCTTCTATTTTTTAATTTATTTGTGAGGAAGGGATCTCGTGGAAGAAGCCTAGCGTTTACTGACCACTGAGGGGCCGTTTTGGGCCTCTGGCAGATGAGTAATAAACAGGTCACGGGGGCCATACAATTTTCTTCCACACTTCAACTCCATCCCCTCGGGAAGAGTTGGGAAAAGGATTGCACAGGACAAGTCAGTTCAGAGCAGATAGTTGCAACGTGTTTTACATTGAGCAGATCCCATTGCGGTGATCGAGATGGTAAAACCGAACATTCGACGCCAATGTAATTCCCTTTTATTTTACCCACGTGATACCTTCCTGTATTAATTTATTATTGATATCTGAATAGTATTGTACACTGTACTTGGTATTTTCTAAACTATATTTATATTATATATTCTTATTAAATGTAAAATAACAGTGGAGTAGTGATGCACATACAATAGGTATAATTTCTTAAATTATATCTATATTATACCATATATTTTCACTGAATTAAAATAATAATAGAAAAGTGATACAGGTATAATAAGTATTCTGGTATATAATTTTTTAATTATATCTGTATTAAATATTTTTACTGAATTAAAATAATAATAGAAAAGTGATACAGATATAATAAGTATTCAGGTATACAATTTTTTAATTATCTCTCTGCCTTCACTGAATATGAAATAATAGTAGAGTAGTAATGTAGATGTAATAAGTATTCAGATATTTTATTCAAACACGTATTAAAGAGAAGACGCAACGTACGAAGTGTCAAAAGGTGTATTCGAAGTTATGGAGGAGCTGACTTACTTTACGCGCAGGATTATCAGGGTTATGTGGATAATGGACGATTTGGTGCGATTTAACGGCAGCAATTCTGCTCGAGGCATCTCGAAATCTCATTAACAGAAAGCGTTTTAGCTTAGATTACGTGGCATGTGAACCTTGCATTCCTGAGGTTAGTTGTATTAATCGTGCATCGCGCTGGTTATATAATCAATTACCGATATAGCTGTGCCATAATTTCATTAATTATCCTTACCTATCACCTTCTCGGATAGCATAATTTCTATTTTTATGGCGTGTGAAAAATAGCCATCACCGATGTCACCGATTTTAAAGCAAAAAATTGGGGATGAAAGATCATCGAATAAATTTGTTTCGTGCGATTTATTTCATAACATAATTCTGTAGCGTCCATTTTATTTTTTTACGAGAAATAATCACTGATTTTAGAATGAAATACTCGGTGCTCGACATTGAATTAATTTCTTTCGCGACATAATTTATTTTAAAACAATTTTGCAGCGTCCATTTTAATTTTCTACGAGAAACAGTCATCACCGATTTTATAATGAAATACTCGGTGCAGGTCATGGAATCAATTTCTTTTGCAACATAATTTATTTTAAAAAATAATTCTACAGCGTCCATTTTAATTTTCTACGAGAAATAGTCATTACCGATACTATTACACGAGATGAAAGATGGCGTGTCGTAGATTTCCAATATTTTTTTCTAATTTTCTTCTAATAATTATCACGTCGATGGTGGATGGTGGATGATTGATGATGAAGTGGATTTTAAAATATAGTTTTTCGTCGTACATTTTATTTTATTTCTCGTCCATTCTGTACGAGAAATAGATATTATTGACATCGCACGCATCGCAGACCTCCGAGTCAATTATTTTTACCGATTTCCACGAACTCGATTATCGCGATACGATGCAGCAGATTCTAAAATATGCCTGTCAGCGTAACTGAATAAAACGCGAAGTCTGTAACCGAACCGGATTGATTAAACCCGCGTGTACGTCATACCCTGTTTCATATAGAGATGGACAGCTTTCAGTGAATACTGATAGCCAACTAGTGGGTTAGAATCGATGTGACCAGTCCAGTTCTGAGGGAATGTATCGACATCTAACCGCTGATCTTATCACCAAAACTTTCCCGATATTGCCATCGATTGTCAGAGGTTCAGGAAAATTTCTCACAAGTTATCCTTTAAAATTAAAAAATTTAAATTTCTCGTAATTAACCCTCTAGCCAAAGAAGGATAGGAGTTCAAAGATTTTCTGTTACAAAGCTGACGATATTTTTCTGAACAGTGAATAAGAAATCGTATGATAATTAACACGTAGAATTATTTGATTTCGATACCTCGCACACCGTTACATTATCTGAAATTTGATATATTTATGAATATCGAGCTTCAAAATTTTATCAAATGGCCACTGAAGGGCGCCTCTCGAGTGCAACGGGTTAAATACTTTTTTCAATTAACTTCAATTCGTAGTTATTTATTCATTTTTCAAATTTCTTTTTTAAATAAAGTTAAATTCAGCGGTGACGTGAAATAAATTTATAAACGAGTTTTGAAAACTGAAAATAAAAAAGGGTAGCACTTCGACATTTGAATATTGGCTTTTTATATTTCATTTTAAATATTTCTTCACGTTTCCCGGACCGTGGAAATAGAGGGAAAAAATTATTTTTCGATAATCCCGGTTTTCACGGGAACGGCACATACGTTGGAAGTTTGCACAAAATTTAAAGTCAATCGATCGATCAGATCGCGAAATATCATGCCCCACTCATTTACTTTACTTAAGAATAAATCTACCACCTCTGGTTAATTTTACAAATTCGACAAAATTTATAATACAAAATTTATAAAATACTCCATGGTATTTAAAAAATCCTACAGTTCGAGGAAATACGAGAAAAAGGATTCATTAAAGAAATCTCAGATTAGAATACTGGTTTTTGCAAAATCGAGTAGCTGCAAGATCGAAAATTAGTTTTCGGCGAATTATTTTATTTTGAAACAATCATAATTATTTTTCAGGATATTCGGATGTTCGTACGCGTTGAAAACATTCGTTATTCGATATCGCGGCCTGTATTTACTTGGTAAATATTTAACGAGGAACGTTTCCATTGCTCTCCCGGGCTTTTTTATTTTCACAATTTTTCCCAGCGTAGTCGTTATTCAGTCAAACATCAAAATTGATATGTGCAAAATCAACGAGATCCGGCAAAACAGAAATTGTTGAATGTAAACTCCCGAGAAATCATGCTAGATGACTGTATAGTCATCTCTGTAGGGATACTGTGTGATTGGTAAATATAAAGAGTAAGAGATGTTATTTTATTCTAAATTCAGTAAGGCTACCTAGCAGGCCCTGTCTTAGGCAGGGATACTATTGGAAATACTATAATATTATTGGAAAATTTGGAAATTCTATATATGGGAAACGGAGGGTTTAACTCCTTCCCTTGCCATTTAACTCGATGAAATCCGGGCCCAAACGGTACATGTCAACTATTTTGTAACAGAGATTATAAGAATCGTGACCAACTCTCGTGGTATACTGATAGGAACTAAAACTCAATCACGATCGTAATCATTCTGTGATGTTTACGTTTGGCTCGATTTGCTATCCGCTAGTCTGGCTCGTGATATTCATATTTGGGCCAAAATCTTCATCACGAGTCTGACTCGTGATATTCATGTTTGGGCCAAAAACTTCATCACGAGTCTGACTCGTTAAAGTACGGAAAGGGGTTAATGAGGACTTGTCAAAAAGTCCTCGAGTTTGGGCCAAAATCTTCATCACGAGTCTGACTCGTGATATTCATGTTTGGACCAAAATCTTCATCACGAGTCTGACTCGTGATATTCATGTTTGGGCCAAAAACTCCATCACGAGTCTGACTCGTTAAAGTACGGAAAGGGGTTAATGAGGACTTGTCAAAAAGTCCTCGAACCTCCTTCAAGTAGGAATCCATTCATTGGCGAGGATGAGAATGATACCGTCACATAAGATTGTAACGAAAATAAATATTGGAATATAATAATGGAAGTTTTTCGCATTCGTGCAGATTCGAGATTGTCTGCCAATTTCCTTCTCTAGAATTGCTATAGAGTTTAAATCATCAGTGAACAGATTAATCCAATGGCTACCGTGCTGTGTTGGTGGATGTACTAAGTACCGTACTGCCAATTGTAAATATCTCCAGCCATAACTGGTCTATACATTGATTATTCTAGAATTGCTGTGGAACTTAAGTCATCAGTGAACAAATTAATCCAACAGCTATTGTACTGTGATGATGCCTGTACTCAGTACTGTTTTGTCAATTGTTAATATTATTGACAACTTAGCCCCGATGTTACCCATTTGTGGTCCCTGCATAGCATGTTCAACTATCATACCAGTAGCTCACGAAACTCGATTAAGTTGGAGAATCCGCATTCTGTAAACTCGAATCGATAATTCCCCATGACAGAGAGTCACCGTCCATCTTTCTATGTCGTTTATTAAATCCGGAGGGTCCCGATATTCGTCTCGGCTAAGCCATAATCTCGAGCATCCGGAGATACAGCTTGTTCAAGATTCTAATCTTTTATGGCTTACCTCCCGTGTTATCGATTTCTTTTGACAGTCATCGTTCGGCAAACATCCGCGTTAATACTCTGCCATTAGCATCGTCGATCATGGAATATTGCAGACTTAACGCCATTGAAATTCGTTCATCCACTGGTAAACAAATCGATTCATTCTTCGGTAGATGGAATTTTATCCATCTTCTAAAAAGTCTTGGGAATCTTCCGAAATAAATTTTGATCCTTGGTGTCATTTTTCTTTTTAAATTTAGGGTTTAGATACTACATCATAGTCTATATTTAAAAATAGAGCTAGTATACGATCTAAATAATTTTGTGGAACTTCTAAAAAGTCGGGGGTATTTACAGAAATGAATTTTGATCCTTGGTGTCATTTTCTTTTTTTAAATTTAGGGGTTAGATTCTACATCATAGCCTATATTTTAAAATAGAGTTAGTATACGGTCTAAATAATTTTGTGGAACTTCTAAAAAGTCTTGGGGATCTTCAGAAATAAATTTTGATCCTTGGTGTCATTTTTCTTTTTAAATTTGGGGTTTAGATACTACATCACAGTATATATTTAAAAATAGAGCTAGTATACGATGTAAATAATTTTCTGGAACTTCCAAAAAGTCTTTGGGATCTTTAGAAATTAATTTTGATCCTTGGTGTCATTTTCCTTTTTAAATTTGGAGTTTAGATTCTCCATCACAGTATATATTTAAAAATAGAGCTAGTATACGATGTAAATGATTTTGTGGAATTTCCAAAAAGTCTTTGGGATCTTCAGAAATTAATTTTGATCCTTGGTGTCATTTTCTTTTTTAAATTTGTGACTAGAGTGTAGGGGGTAGGGAGTAGAATTTTGTGATTCTCGGTGTATCGAATCACAATTTCCACGGTAAAAATAAAAATTCTTTTTTTGTGTTTCAGGAGTCGACTACATGCATCCGGACCTGAAGTACAACTACGTGAGTATGAGTGTGGTTACGTGTAAATTTACGTTCAAGCCTCGTTACCATTTATCATTTTGCGACATACTCGACGCCATATTGACGTGAGAGTTTACATAACAGAAGATCGTCCTGTTTGCCATCCCTTCGACGTATTTGTCTCTACACCTCAGTGGCATTTCATTGTAATCGAAGGAGATTTGTAAGATGCATTATCATAATACCGGGCGCGCATTGAAATTCAAATAGGCATGACATAAGCCACAAGCTCGACTTTATGGCGGCGAATGAATGATGATAAGAACCTTTGACGCCTCCATTCTGTGGCAATTTTATCTCCCATCCGAGATCTATTTGAACAGGCATCTATGATTCGCTGGTATAATAAATGGTCATCGACACGAAGAACTTCAAAGGACATTCTTTTCTTTGCAGAGTGAAATAAGATTCTATGGACACTATGGAATTATAGTTAATGAACAAATAACTCTTCGTACTTTGAGAATTTTTGGATCGAAGCAACTGAATCGGAATAATTTCTTTCTTCTGGAGGATCAAATAAGATTTACCAAAGAATTATGGAATTAATTAATAAATAACTCTGTGCACTTTGAGAATTTTTGGATTGAAGCAACTGATTCGGCATAATTTCTTTCTTCTGGAGGATAAAATAAGATTTACCGAAAAATTGTGGAATTAATTAATAAACGATTCTTTGCACTTTGAGAATTTTTAGATCGGAGAGACTGATTCGGTATAATTTCTTTCTTCTGGAGGATAAAATAAGATTTACCGAAGAATTATGGAATTAATTAATAAATAACTCTGTGCACTTTGAGAATTTTTGAATTGAAGCGATTGATTCGACATAATTTCTTTCTTCTGAAGGATAAAATAAGATTTACCGAAGAATTATGGAATTAATTAATACATAACTTTGTGCACTTCGAGAATTTTTAAATTCCATTGGCTAATAACTCTAATACGCTTATCGGCTTATTTACAAAGTGCTTCTTTGATCCAGTCAAAGGGATTCGGTGAAAAATCACGGAATTGTTTATTACCCTTTGAACTTTCAGAATCTTTTAATTCCCTCGTCTCTTGGCTTCTGTGCACAGTGCTTTGCCCCAACGATTGAAACGGAAACCAATAGAAAATCGTGGAATTATTTCCAGCCTTCTAAACTTCGAGGATCCTTCGAAAACAGAATTAAGTGGAAGGGAATTAGGGTAGCAAGGGAGATACTATTTCCGTCATCAACAAAGGGACAATTTGTAGTACGACCTAACACGAGTTTCTTTAGCAGGGAAGTCCGATTCGTTCGATTCAGATCACGTACATCAGGTCGCTTCTCAAGATCCACTTGACGTCCCGGCAAAACAAGGAAGTCCGCGCGGTAAACCTGGTTAGTTAAGGGAGGCAACGTGCGTGGAATGATGAAAATGCCGAGGGTAGTAGAGAATTTTCATTCGACGATGCGACAAGCACTTCGGAAAAGCGGAGAATAATAGGGACGTCGAATTATTTTGTTTCGCGGTGATGATGGTCGCTCGACCCATTTTCTGGGCTGGACGAGTATTGTTAAAGCAAATAGCAGCCCTCATGAATAAAAATGCACGAGTATTATCTGCGGGGAAATTATAATAGGCAAACGAAGTTTTCGCTGGTTTTTTCCGAAGATTAAACTGAAAGGTTGGAAGACAATGCAACCCACGTGGCGCAGAAATTCGTGATTAAATTCATGAATGTGGAGACAATAGGGGTTGAAGGTTGGTTGAGCGTTAAATGGCAGGAGAGACAATTTTCCGGTAAAAAATTCCTCGAAGGCTAATTACCATTTTATTCTATTACTACGTCCTTTGCGTTATTCAGCGACACCGTGGAATAAATTTGCGAGGAGAAAAGGGAAGAAATTCCGTGCAGTGCTAAAAGAGCATGGCTGAGTGGCTTGCGACGGAAATGGCGGCAGATTTTGAAATCGCCATTAAGTTTCATCATTATGCTAAAACGTCTGGAAATTCTGGAATTTTTCCCGGCGTTATATTATTCGATTACAGGATTAAACTTAAGGCGATTTCAACGTAAATCTGGAAGAGAAATTGGAAGGGTGAGATAGCAGGGATGAAGATTAATGGTCGACCAACGTTGTCTGTATGAGGAACTTGCGGGAAGTAAAATTAATAGAAAAGAATCTTTACAAGTAAATTGCCTTGGTGAATTCCCTGTCTGATTAATTAAGAATCTAGGGAAGTTCAGCCACGTCTATCGAAAATTTATTTTCATGCATTACCCTGCATATTTATGAAACATTTTACGCGTGAAATATCCCCTTTGTAACCTGATATTCGCAAAATGGGGAAATAATGAAATACGACGTTTTATAAATATAAATGAGAGAAGTATAAGAATTTCAAAGAAATATCTGGAAGAAAAGATCAACGTCGAGAAAAATAATGGCAATGTCGATAGAACTGTATTTACCAATTTAGAGTCTCTAGTTCAGTCCTCAGTGAGAACAGGAGTCATTTCTTTTCATTATAAAATGAAGGTACAGTTCGTGCAAATGTAAATCATAGTGAAAGAAAGTACACATATATAACACTCAGCTTTGTTCAGCATCATTAGTATGCAACTCCGTATTGCAAGGAGAAATATACGTAGTGCAATTTATACAAAATGATATGTTTTATCCATCATGCAGATGATAGTTTACAAAATGATAAATGAAGAAAATGGATGCAAGAAAACAGGATGAAAAATAAGAAATATATATATAGATTGTGAATCGCAAAAATGAATTTTCTAGCAGTGCAAATAAACGTTATACAAGAAACATATTAATGCACTTTCGAGATACGTTCAGCTTTATCCATCTCATTAAGTGAGAAAGCTCTAGAGAGCTTTCATCCCAACGACTATTACTGTATGAAGCTTTTCTTCCCAGTCTCGCGTAAATTAATATTTATTTCGTGTATCTACTAAAGGAAAAAGAAAGAAAAATTTGTTATAATTTAAAAGGCTAAGATTACGTTCTTAAACATTTTCAGAGGACCCAAAGAAATGAAGAGAAAAATCCTTCCTCTGTTTCAGAATGCCAAAGCTTCCTACGATTTCAGCAGCAATGACCCTTACCCTTATCCGAGATACACGGACGACTGGTTCAATAGGTGAGTAAAACAATTGACAATTCGAATAATTATATAATCAATCCCGATTATCGAAACTCCATTATCCAGATTCTATTATCCGAATGTCCTATCATCATTAAACCGTTCTGTTATCGGAACTGTGCGTTTCACATGCGATATTCGCGTGTTATCTGTGTAGTATTGCTGTCTCCTGTCAAAGTTATAATAATCGGCAACTGAAATTAATTCTTTTATAATATTCCATGCTGTAATTTCTCTAATGAAATTGCAGCGTTTATTAAAATGTATAGAGAACTATGCGTGTACGGATATATAGCAATGAAATATATAAAGTTTATTATCAATGAAAGATGCAAATGTACTTATACAGATATACAGGAATGCGCGTATCCTTGTGAGTTACAACTGTTTCTAGAAAACAGAGAGTCCTTATAAACTAAAGCACGAAGCACTGCTGCCTGATAAGGAAGGTCCATGAGATCTAAGAATCATTATGGGCCTGCAACATATCTGACACCATCGTTGCAAACCTACGGTTTATTACAATATTCCAGTGTGATATTTGCATTCGAAGGGTACGATGAAAGAGTACGATCGTAGATGGTATGAAACATAAACAGAATGCGATCTGAAGGAATCGTTAATGCTGAAAAGCCTATGTAAGAATTTAGGTAATTTTTGTCTGTCGGTTCTAACGTATTTGGTATGATCTAGTATGAGAATAAATCCGAATAAACTTGTTTCCATATTAGTTCCGATAATCGAACTTTAACTATACTCTTTAACACGTTAAACGCCACGCGCCGTTCCGTTTACCCCACAGTTAGTCGTCACGCGGGCCCCTTCCGGGCCGAACGGGCCAGTGTGGCCTGAACAGAAAGTCTAGCGTCGGTCCCTAGAGACCGACGTGACGTTTAATGCGTTAATGGTATTTCGTACCATAATACAGCCATATTAGTTCCGATAATCGAACTTTAACTATACTTTTTAACACGTTAAATGCCACACGCCGTTCCTTTTACCCCACAGTTAGTCGTCACGCGGGCCCTTACGTGTCGTACGGACCGGCGAGGCCTGAACGGAAATTCTAGCGCCGGTCCCTAGGAACTAACGTGACGTTTAACGTGTTAATAGTATTCTGTACCATAATACGGCCATATTAGTTCCGATAATCGAACCTCAACTGTACCTTCCAATGGTATTCCAAAGAACCGCAAGCCTTGCGAATTTTCAGGGATAACCAAGTTTACAGGATGAACGTTTGTTACATAAAACTCGGTGTTTCTCATAACGAGATTAGAAAGAGGCCTTGGGTAATAGGAACTTCAGGGAACCGTGAAAGCTCGGCGCGATCACGTAATTAATGATTACCAGGTAGCAATTAGAGTGGATGGCGGATAGGTTATTAAGCTCGGGAAATTGTTTCGAGCTTCTTATTTCAACTCTACATTGTTTCTTCAGCGTGATCGAAGGTGACACGGCTCCCTGAGAAGAAGCCAAGGAGAAGGATAATGATGTTCGAGGCGGGACGAATCGATGGAACATTTTATCCGATAATGAGAAATGGACTTTCCAATTAGCGACTCCAGAAGAACTCTCTGCCTTCCAGTTCGCGTTTAAAGTTCACGGAATGACCCGCGAAGATACCTCGTAGTTTCGTGCAGGGACGAAGCTAATGATCTCTCCTTCATCGATCTCGCCAGCCTTACGAACCCACGTCGGGAATTATGGAAAATGATTCCTGCGCCACGCCTAGAGAGCTAGTCAGGTCTCTTACGTAAAAATTCTTCTGCCTATTCTCCACGGTGGCTTACGTAAACTTACCTAGCAATTTCTGCGGGTTCGTGCCACTGACATTTTCTTCGAATAAACACCGCGAAGAGCCTATAGCAATAATTGAACGGTTCGATTCCAACCTTCTTCGATGCGTTCTATAGCCAGTAGAAGAATTTATCACGCAGACGGTTTATTCTCCATTAACTTACCCTCTCAGGGAGCATTTTCAATCCTTCAAATGTCTTTCTCCATTCCTCAAAGAAAATGAGATTCTCTTTGTCCACATCTCAACAAAGAAACGTTGATTTTCTTTTTTAATTGATTTAATTAGTCTTTAATATTGAAACGAGTGCGATGAGTCCTTTGTGATATGTAGTTATGTATTTTCTGGAACGTTTTGTGTTTGAAGATCAAAATGACTCGTTTTTTAAACAAAAAGGAATTTTAAAATAGTGCGATTTGTGCGTCGTTGATTTTTCATTCATATTTTTATATTTGGAACAAAATTTCTTTGTTCCAAAATTTCAAAAATGACTTGGCATTGTTGATTCGCACAAAATTGCATTGCTCGATAAGTAAATATTAATTGACATTCACCTGCATATTAACATCGTGAGTAGGAATTCGAAGATTTTCTGCTATAAAGTTGACGATATTCTTTTGAGCAGTGAATAAGAAATAGTATAATAATTGACACGCAGAATTATTTGATTCCAATACCTCGCACACCATTACATTATTTTAAATTTGATATATTAATTAATACCGATCTTCGAAATTTTATCAAATGGCGACTGAAGGATGCCTTTCGAGCCTAAAGGGTTAAAACTGTAATATCTTCGTCTAGAAATTTCTCGATAGATAATTTCTTCCCGATAAAGAGTATATATAAATTCATTATAGTGGTTTCGTTGAAAATTTGTAAGAAAAATATTGCTACTTATCAGTAACCAATTATTTGAGAGAAAAAATTCCAACTTTCAATGTTAGTCAGTGTTTTACAAAGCTACGAAAGGTTAGGTTGTATTGGATGTATACAAGGATTATCGGCTGCAAATAAATTGCACTGCAAGGGATTAATTGCTCTGTCGTCGAACAGAAGCCCAGACAATCGATCCCATTGCCAGAGACAGTTCACTGAATTTCGTAGAGAAACAAGTGGATAATCTAACGAATTTTCTCGTTTCGCGTACCCAATGGACTTATAACTCGATTCTCCGATTGCCCAAGTAAAACAAGTTTATCCAGCAAATGAACGTAAAATTGATTAAAACGTTCTCCGCGCCGTTTACGAGGAATGTGTTAAACCTTGTGCAAGATGATCCTGTCTTAACGTCCGAACCCCGTGGACTCTTCTTCGGTTTATCTCCAACACGTGAAAAATTGAGAGAGAAAAATCGTACGTGGCAATCATCTCGGTTGATACGTCTCCTACAAAGTCGCTTATGTCGTCTTTACGTCATTTTTATGACTTACGTTCCTCGATTTTATTGGTTTAATCAGAATCCGGCAGTAAAAACGGACGTTAAGGTTCACGGAGAACGTGACGAAAGAGACTCGAGTGGGCGTGAATAAATCGGAAAACGATAAAATTCCTGGCAGTTTCTCGGTCTTCACCGAGATTTCCAATCTTTCCGAAGATCTTCGTTGAGTCTAGGCTAGGAGAAACTTCCGATGACTCGTTCGTACCTGATAAACGCTTCGTTTGCACGTAAGACGAACTTTCCTGGTGTAATACAGTCCTGCGTGTCCTGCTTTTGCCCACTGGGCACAGTAGTCACGCGGTATTCCTTTGACGGCCATTTTCTCGCGCATTTCATCACAGATCTTCCGAAATTACGATCGAGCTTTCGATGGTTGGTCGAGTTCGTAAGTGACGTCGTGCATAGTTGACATTTTATCGTTATTTTCTGCGCAACGTGGAATCCTGGCCATGCGCCGCGAGGCTAGGAAACAATGCAATAGAATGTCCCGTCCGCCATTTTGTGCGACAGCTGCGGCGCATAGTTGACATTTTTCTGCGACGTCACCTGCATAGCGTGGAATCCCGATGGTGCGATGTGAGGACAGGAAATAGTGCGGTGGAATGTATGGGCCACCATTTTGTGCTACATTCGAGCAGCATGTTTGAAATCTTTCGGTATTATCATCCGTGAAACATGGCGATGAGAAACGGTACAACGGAATGTCATCTTGTCTACCATTTGGCGCGAGTATGACGCATGGTTCGCATTTCTCTGTCTTATTACTCCGCGTAATACATGTAATATGAAATCCTGAGCACGCGAGAATAGGAGATTTGGAGGTTAGGTAATGGAGCGTCGTCTCCGCCATTTTGTTTCAACTGATGGGATGAAACTGTGGGTAAAATGGGAGAAGAATATCTTCCACTATTTTTAACGAGAAATGCAAAGAATATTTATGCAAAAAATATTTAAGTAATAAATCCAAAATAATATACTATTAAAGTAATATATATATTCACTCTTTTTAGAGCTTTCTTTTCTCTCTCTCATTCTTTATCACGATTTCATTATGGTGTTCACGTCTCTATAATTCTATGACGACTATTTTATTCTGCCACATTCTTCTAAACGTTATTAACACTAGATGGAACTCGCATATATTATATTCACATCATAGATTACACAATTATAGACAAAGAAGTCTCACTCATTCAACGACACTCACACTCACACGCATAAAATTAACACTCACAGAAACGCGAGTACGAAATGAAGACGCAAATAAAAATAATCACCAGTTAAGAAAATTTAAAATGTACATTTCGAAGGTCATTAAGGAGCGTATTATCGCTAGGTGTTAATCTCGTATCGAGAATTTGCTCTACATCGAGTTGACGCAACACCGTGTTTATCGAATTCGCGTTAATTGCGTGACGTTCGTCCCGTTTCTAATTACTCGCGTTTGTTTCGTGTAATTACATCTGAATTTTGTCAGATTAATTCCTGTGATGAATGGCTGCAGCTCGATTACCCTGCTCATCTTTTCGCGTAATCTACGCCACTCCTGTATACAAGTATCGTCGAGTTCCTCCTTCGCAGCCAGTTATGGTAAACGATACAGCGACCCATTGTTGCACTTGTCCTTCCTCTAATTACTCTTGCTGCGTTACAACTAACTTGGAGCAGGTACAACTAGTGTGCACAACCGGTCGGACATGTAACTCCCGAAACGGAAGTCGGCACGGAGCAACTGTCCAACTTAATTTCGATCAGGGAATGACAAGATTAAATCCCAACGATGTTGTCAGAGGCAATGTAGGCGTGTCTTGCCCACAGATTGCGTAATAAAACCGTATTTATCGCGGTTTATTTGTGGTAACCGTTAAACTGGTGGCTCCAGATGTGTGGCTGCGTTTGCAGCTGTTCCATGCAGTCGCGGACATAATAACGAGCATGGTTATTAACTATAATTCGTCGAAATGGAATTTTATAATTCGTAAATTTTTATCCAACGTTTTATCAGGTAACACCGCGACGTTTCTTCGATTTTTAGACGAGGGACACGATTGCTCGTAAGTTTTTATTCGAGGAGAGTCGCATTTGGTCGGTGGAATGTGGGACCCGTGATTTATGCGCGTGAGGAATAAACGGGAGGAGAACTTTTCAAATATCGCACGTTATTTGTTTTCCGCCAAGTCTTACCCCACGTGCAATTTATCGCTCTGAGAATTCCGCAAACAACGACAAACTGGGAGAGCAAAATTATTTTACTGCCTCCTCAAAAATCTTGTTCGAACACTTGCACTGTGGAACTTGGATTGTTGCACAGAAATAGAAGTACGTAAAGTACCAAAGTTTGTACAGTGGTTGACATGTGTAATCGTATATTATTTGTGCCTTCTCACCACTTTTAACCCTTACAATATCGTGTGAGACACGTGGTAATGGAATAGGGTCAAACATGGATATCACGGGTGAGAGACGTGGCTCGTAGATAGGATCCAAGTTAAGTAAAACGGGTCAGGCTCGTGGTTAATTTTCGCAGATGTTTTTCTGTCCCGGTGTTATTCTTCGACACGTTCGACGAAATTCCGTGTGTGACCGTTAGTATTCGTCCTTGTTTTTCTGCCGAGACAAGTTGAGACTCCTCAGTTCCGTGTTATTCTTCGACGCGTTCGGACGACATAGTTCGACACGTGCCTGTGTCTGACTTTGCTGTTCGATTATGGCATGCGTCATCGAAACTCAAATCGTAAGGTAAGAGGTTAACATTCGTTATTAGAGAGTAATCAAAATTGTCTAAACTAGCAACGAACTTGTCCAGGCTAGCAACGAAAAATTTATATAGGTTATGTTTCTATGGGCACCAAAGTACCCGAAGTGCGCGAGTATCGATCTGGGAAACAATAGGAAAGTTATAAAATACGCGTATAAACTTCGAAATAGCGCTATTATATTTCATAATACTAAACCAATCGCAGTTAAAATGACAATTTTTAATCAATTAAAAATTCCTCATTCTACATTATCATTTTGGACCAGTATATCTTCTTTTACGCCATTTTTTCGAAGTTCTTCTCTCACTGTTCTATTTATCAGTCATTTAACGCGAAGCCTAGTAGAAATATATTCAGCAAGAAGGTTTCATTCCGAATCTGGTCCATAATTGGCCAATCCCAACTACCCTCTTTCAACGTTCCAAGGGCAAAAATCAAAGGCAACTGTAACTCGATTCGAACCCTAGTCTCTCTTGAGCAGGGGATGATAGACATTGCAGACTTTGCAGCTTCAATAAGCGACGAAAACATTTTGCCAGTGACGCAGGCACGGTGGATCTAATTAAGGTTGTTTTTGTTGAAAGCCATGGCACCAGATGCGCCGGCGAGGTGGCAGCAGCCCGGGACAACGGCGTCTGCGGCGTGGGCGTCGCTTACGACTCGAAAGTCGCCGGGATTCGAATGTTGGATCAGCCTTACATGACCGACCTGATCGAAGCTAACAGCATGGGACACGAACCTGACCTCATAGACATTTATAGCGCTTCATGGGGACCAACGGACGACGGGAAAACTGTGGATGGGCCGCGGAACGCGACGATGAGGGCCATCGTGCGCGGCGTTAACGAGGTGCGTATCAGTGTCACGTTTTGCACCCTTGCTCGTCATGCACGGGATTCTCTTACCGTCCTTCCACTTCCATTCCAAGTCGAGGGGTGAAATTAACCCTTGATACCTTGGAACGTCGATCGGTTATTCGACGCCTCTTCCCAAACTCTTCTCAGTCTCCGTCGTCATTGAAACTCCCTTCGAAGATAATAAATTACTCTCTAGGTTGTGGACGGACAGAAAGAGATTTCAGGAAAATTTCATGGGCTGGCTGTTTCATTTTTCCATAATTCAATATGAAATTAAAGCATTTAAATGAATTTCGGCATATTTATATATATTATTTGGAGAGATATAACTTATTATACATTTTGCAATTTATTACATGTGAAATATTATTAGGGATGTACTTTCTGTATGTTCTTATGTGCGATGGTACTTGATAAGTTCTTACGATACTGTTACGATACTAATTTTATAACCTTCTAACCTCAAAAATGCATAATCTCGGACATAAATGCGAAAACGAATGAAATCTAACATAAATTATAACCTTTTAACCTCAAAAATGCGTAATCTCGGACATAGATGCGAAGAGGAATGAAACCTCGTCTAACCTAAATCTAACCTAAAAACGAGTACCTTCGTGACTGGTCCGTGAAGTGTTAAAATAGCAAAGATGTTTGTCGTGAAAGATGGTTTCTCTGCACGTGGTTGGCTATTTCGAGAGAATAAAAGTGGATAAAAGTATCCAAGCTCGACACGTACCTGACACCGCGAGGACCGCTGACCTTTGGGCGCGCGTCCACCGCGCGACGGCATCCTGATTTCTCATGAGAGGGAACTTTAATGCGCTCCGTTGGCGAAACTTTTATGGAAACAACGTAGTGTAATATTACAACTGCTCCACCCACGACACACGCCATCTGTCTTTCAGCGACGCTTAGAGAGGGAACGTTGTAGAACATTGTAGAACCTCGTGCAACATCTCGGAACAACAAGGACAGTTTCCACGATGCGCGATCAGTTTCTGATACTCTTGTTTGCGGTGACGGTGCTATCCAAGTTGCAAGTTTCGAGTGTAAAGCGAGACTTCGGTAAATTCTACTAAACCAGAGTCGGTTCTCACGATGGAGTTGCTGTCGAGATTTCATGTTGCTCGCTGAACTTTCCGCGTCGATTGATTCATCTAGAAACTATGTTACATCGTTTGCACGAGTTTCGTAGACACAGTCGAGGTGGTTTCCGTGAATCCGTCGAATTGAAGTTTCGATTTGAATTTTGGTAAGATATTTTGCAGCAGGATTATAGTAACCGAGTCTTTGCAGAGTTTCGATGCTTCCTCGTTTTCATAGGCTTTCTGGTATCGATCTCGAGTATTCTTTGGATCGCTTGGAGCGTGGGAGATAATGGCGTATAAAACTCTTCACGAGGTTTATCGGTGGATGATAATCATCCCGTTGGGAGCTAGCCTTTTGTCCAGGATCGTCTTAAGCGTTATAATTGAACATCAGATAAAGCAGTGCACTGAGATTCTTATCTGTTAGATATATAGCCACTTAAGGGAATAAAAATGTAAATGCTTGATAAAATTAAACACGTTTTTAGTGACTCTTCGGAAAGGATCAGTGGTTTTAAAGTGAAAAATTAGAGTAAAAATTAGCCAACGGTATTTAGTGTATTTATTTATCCTAATTGTGAAATATGTTTAATAAATTATGAGGTATAAATTATAACTGTGAAAGAAATATCAAAAAATATGTGGTTCGGTAAAAATTAGTCAACACTGTTTATCTTTCGTATTAATATTGCATTTATTCATAATAATCACGAATTATGATTAATGGACTATAAATTCTGAATTATAACCACGAAAAGATATTTTATAAAATGTTATACTTCAAAAATGAATTAACACTGAGTCTGTGGAATTATCATTAATTTTATTTATCATAATTATGAAATATGATCGATGAAGTATGAATTATAACTACGAGAAGAGATATTGCTACGTATATAGGCTAGGGATCCCTAGATTTTTATAGGGTTCCCTAGACAGTTGCTCAAAGTACTCATACCTTAAGACGCACGTTATTTTTCTCAAAGTTGTCTTCGTACATGGTCACGTATGTACATACTTCACCGTATTTCATCGCATACGACAATTTAGAGGATTCTTCTCCACCATCGCATTTCCAGAGATTTCCGCGCTTTCGTCAGATCCGCGCGTGGTTTCTATTTTCCCTTTATATTTATCTTCCATATTTTCGCGTCACACCTCGTATTTTCTGCACGTGACTTACCTTTGACGCTTTTATCTCCTCGCTGCCTCACCAGTCTTCCTTATCATTTTCGCACAGCTCCGCGTTTCTTTTATTATTCCTGGCTCCGTCGTAATTTCCGATATTTCACGGTTTACGAATTTAACGTCGCTGGTAAATGTACAAGCTCGACGGTGATTCTTGATCACCGAATTTTCCTCAGCCCTCGCTTCTCTCCCCGGCGAAGGAAATCCTTTTTTCGAGGCAAGCAAGGGCTGGAGGTAATAAAGTTAACTCGCTAACTTCGTCTTACGCCGCGGTGAGCCCTGTCCTAATTAGCTTTCTAATTGCGCTGCGAATTTCTGACGGTCGTCGCGTCAACGGAAGTCGTTTTACCTTGCTCTGAAGCCGTGGATTAACAAAATACCCTTCGAGTCCATCGATCCCCTTTTAATCATTCTGGTGAGCTTAAGTATGGTCTTCATTCGAGACCATCGTCGCTTCAATGACTTTCGCGTGCGTCGTTCGCATCATAATCTTCCCACGTGTATGTAAATATTGTATTTACTATCGTTATGTAATCGTATAAATTATTTTATATATTTTTAGGTATTTTATAGTTACTTTTATATACTTTCAGGTATTTTATAGTTACTTTTATATATTTTTAGGTATTTTATAGTTACTTTTATATATTTTTAGGTATTTTATAGCTACTTGTGTTGATTCTGGTGAATAAGATGTAGAATATGTAGATAATGTATATTACATGTAAGTAACGTACATAGCGTGATGAATGAAATAAATAATAATAATAATTAGGGTGGTGTAATGAAGATAAACAGGTACACGTTATTAATTAACTCCACGAAATAGATATAGAAATTTAATTAGAAAATAAAGTATCAACACACCAATTAAATACCCTGTTATTCAAATTTAAACGAATTTAAGCGCTTTGCTTAATTACCTTGGCCTATGACCGGTTTAATTACTCCAGTTTCAATAAAAATTCAGATCATTTTTGTAGAAAGTAGGTATTTTTAATTACTGCAAAACTGAAAGATTTGAGATCAATTATTTATTTATTTAATTTATTTAACAATAATTTACGGATAGTAGAACCCATTAGTGTATAAACAAAAAATTAAAAATACATCACTTTGTTAGAGAGAGAGAAAGAATATAGGTTAAGTATGGTACAAATGCTCATATAGATGATATAAACAATTTGCTTAGAGATTTAAGATCTGGTTTTTAAACGAAGAGATACTATTGTCAAGAAATTATGTCCAATTGTTAGTTTAACTATTGTATTACCAAAAGGATCAAAGTAGCTTGTTACAGACTCCTAATTTTTGTAGTTTTCTTTTCGAAATTAATACCGATCTTCTTCAAATAATTCTTCGCGATTAAATATACTTTTTTATTTTCACGACACCACTTTAATTAATATCGGTCATGTACACTATATTCAGGTATGCATTGCAGGTCGGTAGTTTCAGTTTGAACCGTGTTGACTAATGATGTTTTGGACAAAAGATAGGGCGTCTCTTTGAAAGTTTCTTTCGAGTTTTTGTAACGAGTAACGTCAGCGAAGTTTCAAAAGAGTCTCTGAAAGAGCGTCAGTCTGTATGGACCTGTGGGTGGATAACGTAGGTAGAGTCGAATTGAATTTGTCAGAGACGATAGAGTTTTCGGAATTCCTATAAACCACGGAGGAGTAACCAGTAATTGCTTCGAATCCAATCAGTGTACGGTTAATTCCGAAAGAAAACGTCGCTAACCCTTATCGAGGAGACGGCGTACTCAGGCAGACTTAATTACCGGGATGATCACATCGAGACGTCACGATTTTACTAACAGAATTTTTAATTTATCAATAATTCGATATAATTTTTAATCGTGTCTCAAAAGAATTTCTAAAACCATGGTGCAATATTTGACTATTTAATTAGAGGTTCTAATAATTTGGTTCGCCTTAGATCGTCAGATACAGTCGAATCTTTTTAACAATTCGAAGCTTTATAATTCGCATTTTGTTCGTTCCCTTTATACAAAATTTCTGTATTTATTCTTGTACATCTTTTGCTAAAATTTTTGAAATTTCTACACTTTTTAAAGTCGAAGATCCTTTTTTTGAGATTTAGGTTATCGAGGTTAGATTATATAAAAATGATAGAAGCGTTGGGTTGCAGGAATTAGGATTATTACAGGATTATTATAGGATATCTTGGGTACCACGAAATTTGGATTATTATTTAACAATTATGTTTATTATTCTGTTCGTTCTCTTTATAAAAAATTTCTGTATTTATTCTTGTATATCTTACACTAAAAGTTTTGAAATTTCTATAACTCGAAGGTCTTTTTCGAAATTTAGGTTATCGAGGTTAGATTATATAAAAATGATAGAAGCGTTAGGTTGAAGGTATTAGTATTATTGTAGGATTATTGTAGGATATCTTGGGTACCTCGAAATTTTAATTATTATTTAATAATTGTGTTTCTTATATGTCTCGTGTACCGTGAGAGGAGTAAGGCTGAAAATCAGTAGAATAGGTTAGTAGAAACTCAGCCGAGTTTCAGGAATGGGACCAAAGTAAAGCATTTCGATTCGCATTTGTTCCCCTCGATGGCTCGTGGCGATCATTTAATTCGGTATGTTGGAATCTCGTCGAGATATTTGAGGACTCGTTGGAACCTGGAATCGATACGAGGAACTATCGAGTGTAGCCTGCACCACGACATGGACGTGACCGCGAGTAATTAGCCGAGTAATTAATTTCACCCACCCGTGTTCATTTATTTGCCTCCCGTTCTTTGTTATTCCAAATTAGTTCGCCCCTGTTTCCCAGTTATATCCAATGAAAACGCTGTTAAAACGAAAGCATTAATCTCCGATAGAGTCTCATCGAACTTTCCAAATTCCACGGAAACTTCACATTTTCTAATTTCGAGACGAGGATCTTCCACTTGAATGCTCGGAAAGTAATCGATAAGTGTCAAGATCCGCTCTGTTCACGGGTATTTCGTGTCCCAGAAATGTCACTTCCCGTTCCGGAAGTTCGTTCTAGCAACTGCTCGTCATGCACACAACTTGTGATATATCGTTACTAGACGATCGTTATTAAAATTACTAGTGTCTTTTCAAAGAATATTTTCGATAATTTTAAGTTTTTATTCTTATTAATACCTTAGGTCATCGATAATTCGATTAAATTAAAGTTACTAGCGTCTTTCAAAGAACATTTTCGATAATTTTAAGTCTTTATTCTTATTAATACCTTTGGTCATCGATAATTCGATTAAATTAAAGTCCCTAGTGTCTTTCAAAGAATATTTTTTATAATTTTAAGTCTTTTTTAAATTAATATCTCTGGCCATCGATAATTTAATTAAATTAAAATCTCTAGTATCTTTTAAAAGATTATTTTCGATAATTTTAAGTCCTCTTTCTTATTAGTATTTCTGATCATTGATAATTTAATTAAATTAAAGCCACTAGGGTCTTTCAAAGAATATTTTCGATAATATTAATTTTTTTACTTACTAATATTTTTGGTTATCGATAATTTAATTAAATTAAAGTTACTAGCGTTTTTCAAAAAATATTTTCGTTAATTTAAAGTCGTTTTTAAATTAATATCTCTGGTTATTGATAATTTAATGAAACTAAAGTTATTACTGCCTTTCCAAAGAATATTTTCTATAATTTTAAGTCTCTTTTGAATTAATATCTCTGGTTATTGATAATTTAATTAAACTAAAGTTATTAGATTATCCTTAGCTTATTCTATATTAATATCTCTGATATTAACCCCTTGCAGTCTACCGCCACCATTATTAATCTCCCATTTACTGTTCAATTTATTTTCACCAATAAAGACGACAAGGTAAAGTCTACTACATAAAGACACCCCCACATATTTTTAATTTCTCCTTTCCGAAACAAAATCTATAATTTCAAAATCTTTCCCACCCCAAAAGCCTGTTTAACGTCACCAGTCAACCAAATCATAATTTCTCAAAATACAGAGGGTTGATAAATACCAGAATCTAAACTTTTACACTTCGTTCACACCTTCCAAATTCTTGACACCTTTCTAAACATACTAAACGATATTCTAATAACATTTAACCCTTTGCACTCGATAATTTTTTAGCCAAAGATTTTCTGTTACAAAACTGACGATATTTTTCTGAGCAGTAATAAGAAATCGTATAATAATTAACACGTAGAATTTTTTGATTTCGATACCTCGCACACCGTTACATTATCCGAAATTTGACATATCTGTGAATATCGAGTTTCGAAATTTTATCAAATGACGACTGAAGGGCGCCTCTCGAGCGCAAAGGGTTAAAATCAAGGACTCTGAGAATTTCGCAAAACGAAGTGACTCCTTACGATTCTATAAACGAGAGACAAAATTTGAAACCACATGTGACGAAAAATATTTATTTTCCTATATTTTACACGCGATAGAATTTACAGACGATAAAATCGGCTAATCCGAGCTCGTTTGTCCCACAGGGTCGAAGAGGATTGGGTAACATTTACGTGTGGGCTTCTGGCGACGGCGGGGAGGAGGATGATTGCAATTGCGACGGTTATGCGGCCAGCATGTGGACTGTCAGCATTAACAGCGCCATCAACGATGGGCAAAACGCTCATTACGACGAGAGCTGTTCGAGCACCCTGGCCTCGACGTTCAGTAACGGCGCTAAGGATCCCAATATAGGAGTGGTAAGTGGCGTCCAACATTCGAGCCTCTGTATTGCAAGCTTCCTCCGCGGTTAAGGGCTTTTTAACGAATCCGCGTGATTCGAGGGTTGTAAATATTTTACGAGTAGCACGTAGGGTTGGCATAACGAAGGCTTCGTGATAATGCTTCGAAGCTTGCGAGGCTGTTCATCAGCTTCGTTTTACAGTCTTCAATAATAAGCTAATAAGAGATATGCAGAACGAGAAAAGCACCCATAAATTAACACTTTGTTGACCGGCAATTTTACACAGACACTATGTCATGTCACCGGCTATTATTTTGTAATCCAATCTTCAAAATCACTTTCACACGCGATATTCTATATCGCCCTGGGTTTCATAAATTGAAATAGATAATGCAAGTGCAATGACGAGTTAACTCGTCACCGGTCAACAATGTGTTAAAACAGAAACAACAAACACCTAATAGGAAAAGTGGAAAATCTCTCAACAGGGTTAACGTGAAATAAATTATAATTAAAAAGAGAGATTTAGTATGCTAAGGATGACCCGAACTTCAGCTGTTTCAAGTATCACGGAACATTATCTCGTTTCATAAATTATTACGTAACACCGGGTACCTCTGAGTTTATCCTTTAGTTGAAGATCGGTTAAGTTGTTCGTATAAAATTTGGAAATTAAATTTTCCTGCATGGTGTTCGAAATTTTTCTGAAATTTTCACGATGCGGTTCCTTGTGGTCCACGTGGTAACTTATGTGAGTCAGGCTAACGCAGTTACCCAAGTATTTCGACTTCGGGAGGGTGAGTCCCAGCTTCGTTGATCAGGTATGCGGGAACTGGGATCGAGAAAAATAAATTAACTTCGTAAACACCAGTCGGGACCTTCTTTCTCCGTGGGAATGCGTGGTTTGAATAAACCATCGAAATTTTTGCAAAAAGTTCCTTTACTCTTTGATATTAACTCGGCCATCCTGATAACTGTTAATCACGTTATGATATTACAGATTGTAGAAAAAGCTGAACCGTGAAAAGTTGAACAGTGTTATTGTCCCATAGACTAGGTTACTTGGCGCACATGGTCGTTAAACGTCGACCAAAAAATTTATCTGGACTTCGGATAAAGATTAGAAATGTAGGAATTACTTTAGTGGATAGGCATAAAACACAGCCTGAGTAGAATATGTGGATATATGTGATATTTAACGCAGAGATACGATTATAATATAAGTTGTCACGTAGACACCCCTAGGTTGTCACTTATGGCACAGAGTGTCAGTAGGGCAAACACTACTCCTCTACTAGGGATGCAATAGTTGTGTAGGCCCCCTGTATTCCATGGTTGTTGATATCTTCGTTGGTTCGATGGGTCTTGACTCTATGGAATTCCTATGGTGCTGGTCTGTTGGTATCCCCCTTTTGTCTCATCGTGCTATGATAGGGTAGCAGGTAGAAGGACGACAGGAAAAGGAAGGTATGAGTATTTCATCCCTTCGGACCCCCTGTCAGCCAAATCCTAAGTGCTGCAGCACGCCTCCTGTCATTATTACCTGAAATAATAAAGAACACTGAAAAATATACACAATTGAATACCTAGCAATAATCTATCCAGCACTTAGGGTCATCTTTGTTAAAAATCCGCCACTGGTTTTCTAAACATGGCACCAGGTCGACTTGAACACTAACCCTACGCAATAAATAACATCTAAACCCAGTCTGTTCACCATTCCCACTTTCCAATCAAGAATAGTTATATCAAAGAACACATCACGGTTTAACTCTTTGCACTCGACGATTTTTTGGCCAAAGAAGATTAGAAGTTCAAAGATTTTCTGCTACAAAGCTGACGATATTTTTTTGAGCAGTAAATAAGAAGTCATGTAATAATTAACACGTAGAATTATTTGATTTCGATACCTCGCACTCGGTTATATTATTTAAAATTTCACGTATTAATGAATGTCGAAATGAATACGAAATTTTATCAAATGGCGACTGAAGAGCGCCTCTCGAGTACAAAGGGTTAATATACTTCGCTTTGCTCCTCTCACATGCCAGATTAATCAACGAACAAACGAAACCTCGACGTAGTTAAAACCGTATAAAACGAGTGTTTGTATAGGGATGGAGCGTTACAGGGATTTTCCTTTTTCGATTAGCCGTATCTCGTGATCTGCTGGAAAAATCCTTTGTGCCAGGTGGCTGGCTAATGGCCGGACAAAGGCCACCCTCTAATTAAAGTGGATACTGCGGGAAACTCGCGCGGAGTTTCGGGTCGACCGATATGAATCAACTTCTCCCGATTCCACGAAGCGGAAACTTTGTCCTGGGGAGGTTGATAGTTAAAACGGGAGGGAATATGGATATTGTTGGAGCAGAGATGCAGGAAATTTCGCGACGAGTTGGTACACGGTTGGTGAACCAAAAGACACCGAAACTCATTGCGGATGCGAGGTTGGATGGAAACGAGTACAGGGTTTTGAATTATCGATAACGAATGGTGATCTCGAACGATCCTATGAGGGTGCTGGATGAAAAGTTGCGGGATCTAGATCGATTTGAAGTCGTCGAGCGAATGTCAATGAGGCTTTATTCTCTATCAACTCGCGTCAAAGAGGAGGGACTTTGGGATTTTTTTACGAGGAAATTGTGAAAGGTTTTAATACCAGGGATTTTGGAGATTATTTATTCATGCTTGGAGAATACTTGGAAATTTTTTTAGTACGAAATAGCGAAGATTGTAGGAGTTATGTAATAATATGTAGAGGCAGGTTTAGAATATAGGAATATAGGATGGGTGTTGTGATTGTGGCTGATTTGTTTATCGAAAATGAACGGATCAAATATATTTTGGTTAGTGAACGCAGTTATGGTTTATACTGTGGATATAGTGGTTTGCGAATTTTCATATATATTGAATTTTCTGAGATACTTGGAACTTATTGTTCATTCTCAAATTATATATAATGTTATCTCTTTATCTTATTTCTAATTTTTCTCTAATTAGCACAGTCGTCCATTTTCAGATTTTGTAATTTTCAAAAAGTGACGAAACTATGATCAAAATAAAATAGAAAGTACAATATAAAAGAAATGAAAAATAGAATAATTGCACTCTCGACAAGAATCTAGTTCGCATATTCATTCGAATAGAAACTTATTAATTTGAAAGCATCGACAAAATCCCGATTAATAATTTTCGTTGCAAAGAAAATCGTACAATCGAGCTCAAATTAAAAAAGAAATACAAACGAAAAATTCCATTCTTTAAGTTCAATGAAGGTACCACCCCTGGTAAAAAATTGTCTGCAAAATACGACACTGTGAAATTATCTAAAATTAATTTGGGTAAGATTTTACACATAGATTGATATAATACAAATCTAAAAGGAGGTGTTAAATCGAAAAGAAAATTCGTAAAAATTTCCGTTTATTGAATTTGACCGAACGAAAAACTTTTCACCAGGGGTAGTATTATGATAAAAATGGAGGTAGAAATTGGAAAGGAAATCATACAATCCGGCCCAAATTAAAAAAAAAAAAAGAAAATTCAAAGGAAAAACTCGATTCTTTGGATTCAATGAAGATACCACCCCTGGTAAAAAATTGTCTGCCAAATACGACACTACAAAATTATCCAGAATTAATTTTTATAGATAGATTGATATAATACAAACCTAAAAGGAGGTGTTAAATCGAAAAGAAAATTCGTAAAAATTTCCGTTTATTGAATTTGACCGAACGAAAAACTTTTCACCAGGGGTAGTATTATGATAAAAATGGAGGTAGAAATTGAAAAGGAAATCATACAATCCGGCCCAAATTAAAAAAAAAAAGAAAATTCAAAAGAAAAACTCGATTCTTTGGATTCAATGAAGATACCACCCCTGGTAAAAAATTGTCTGCCAAATACGACACTACAAAATTATCCAGAATTAATTTTTATAGATAGATTGATATAATACAAACCTAAAAGGAGGTGTTAAATCGAAAAGAAAATTCGTAAAAATTTCCGTTTATTGAATTTGACCGAACGAAAAACTTTTCACCAGGGGTAGTATTATGATAAAAATGGAGGTAGAAATTGAAAAGGAAATCATACAATCCGGCCCAAATTAAAAAAGAAAAAGAAAATTCAAAAGAAAAACTCGTTCTTTGGATTCAATGAAGATACCACCCCTGGTAAAAAATTGTCTGCCAAATACGACACTACAAAATTATCCAGAATTAATTTGTTACACATAGATTAATATAATACAAACCTAAAAGGAGGTGTTAAATCGAAAAGAAAATTCGTACAAATTTCCATTTATTGAATTTGATCGAACGAAAAACTTTTCACCAAGGGTAGTATTATGATAAATTTCTTCCCGATTTTTATAAAAATGGAGGCAGAGATTATCGGGTGGTGAGGCATGAAACGGATCGTAGGCGTGGTTAAGTACACGTGAAGATAAACTCGCATATTTTTCACGGTTCACGTCGTATATGCTAAAGGGTGTGCGAGTGGTATCGCGAATGAACTCTCGTGCTAAATTTTATTTCTCCGTGTGCGCCACGATAAAGCCTGGTTTTATACTACGAGCGAGCGGGGAAGTTGAGATAAGTTTACGGAGGTATCACGACGAGGTCGGGAAAATCGCCTATTCCGACATCTTCAGAGCGTTCCTACCCTTATCTCGGCGTTCAGCGTGCACCTCTTTTCACGCAGCGGTAGATCACGCTTAACAGCCACCATGCTCGGCTTAGGTGAGGGTTCAGACAGTTCCTGGTGTGATAATACAGGCGAGATGGAGAAATAGGAGAGCTCGGGATTGCTCAGCAGGTGAAAATCTTCGTTTAACCCTCTCCACTCGAACATCTTTTCGCTATCTTTTCGGACATAACAGTTCAGTGATACCATTGTGTAAGGGGTTGAGAAGGGAGACAGCTTGGTTCTAATAAATCTAACTCTCGATGGCTGGTTTAACTTTATTCTTCTCGATGCTATACACACTTCCCGGTTATATTATAGTATATTATA